GATTAGATATAGCGACATTACATTTTAAAACGAAATAATTTTTGGAATTCAATACAAATACAATTTTTTTTTCTGTTACCTACTCTACTACAATTATTGTAAATAGTTTCACGCGCAATTATCCAGATCGGATATAGCGTGTCTTATTTGCAACTGGTAATAATAATTTAAAAAAATACAATTTTATGTATTTTGAAAATAGAGCAATCCATAAATTATATCCATAAATAAATCTTGAATTTGTAAAGGTTAGCGCTCAAACACAACCAAAATATTAGTAAATAAATTATTTTTTAATCCAATATATACCTTTTTAGTTAAACATGTATATTAGGATACATTAGCCCGCCATCTGTTATGAAAATTTGAAACTATTATAGACGCGTATGATTATTTTAAAAATTAAACAATTTCTACTGCCCTTAATACAATGGAAATTTAATATATAAATTATTTAAGAAGAAATAATGTAAAATATAAATTGCCTAAAGATCAAGATATAGATCGAATGATAGAAAGTTTTACTAAGCAAGATGATCTAAACCAATGCAGTAAAATATATAAGCCAAAACTAAGAGATCCAAACATAGTCATAAAATCAGTCAACAAGATGACCAACTTAGCTAATTTATCGACAACGTTATGTGAGATGAACCCTGAACTTTCTCAACTCAGTGAAGAGATCAAAGTGCTATTTCCAATGAAAACCAATAGACCAGAGCAAGATGTAGTACTGAGGGTTTCACCTAGAGTCTACCAAATTATGAAGAGAAATGGAAAAATTTACACGGATATTCAACGATGCGATATTAAAGATAAAATATTAGTGAATCAATGTCAGAACTGTTTTTTATTTAATCCTAATCATAAGAGGAATAACTGTCCCAATCCCAAAACATGTATTAAATGTGAAAAAGAGGGAGAACACGAATGCTCGACTACAATTAAATGCTGCAACTGCGTCAAACATCCACATTTTAGAAATAGAGATTTGGAGCATAAACCGAATAGTCAAGACTGCCCAATCTATAAAAAAAAAGATGCAAATCATAATACAAAGAACTGACTATTCTACACATATAGAAGATGCGGGCCAATAATAAACTTCCAGAATGATGGGGCGAAAACTATATATTGACAAAATCAAAATTATTCAACAAAATACCAGAAAAAGCAAAAATTGCATAAATGAGCTTTGTGCATCTGATGAAATTAGAAATGCAGATATAGTAATGATACAAGAACCTTATATAATCAAAGAGGAGGTAATATTTCCAGGACCTTGTACAAAATATCAATTGATGAACAGTCCCATTATAAATACGGCAATAATTGTAAGAAATAGCAGCTTAAAAATTCAATTAAGTACAGAATTCACTAACTCATTTGCTACAACTATAACCATACAAACAAAAAGTAAGAAAATATATCTTTCCAACATTTATATACATCCGAATTCAATGAAAAGTGAGCACGAGGAATTTATGAAGAAGTTAATTAATACAAATTTACATATACCGGTGATAATTTGCGGCGATTTCAATGCCAGAGCTCCGTTATGGTATGATATCAGGAAAAATTATAATGGACATAGACTGATCCCTATCATAGATGAAATAAACTTAATTATCCATAATAATAAAACTATCACGTGTCGTGATGCAAGTGTGATTGATCTCACACTAACAAATAAACAGGCAATTGCGGCGATCAGAAATTGGAAGACGCAGCAGATATCGCAAATTTCAGATCATGTAGCTATATCTTTTGAAATATATACAAACGAACAATTTAGTTCAGAAAAATATTATTCCACTTGGAAATTTAATGAGAAAAATGCGAACTGGTTAAGTTTTAGTCAGAGAATTAACATTACTGAACGAGAAAAAATTGAAAACTTACTAGACATAGTGGATACACCAGAAATGATTGATCAAACGGTAAAAGAACTTACGAACATACTGATTGAGGCAGCACATAATTCACTTAAAGTAAATAATAATATGACAACCAAAAATAATATTAGTAATAAGTGGTGGAATACGAATTTACAGCTTCTAAAGGATTACTGTCATTATCTTAGAAACTGTTACTATAGAAACAAAAATTGCCCTAATCATATTAAACAATACTATAAAAGCATACGAAATAAGTATTTACGGGAAATAGAAAAAGCTAGGAAAGCATCATGGAGAATTTTTCTGGAGGAAAACAAGTCGAACAACCCTTATGGAAACTTATATAAGGTGTACAAAAACATCAAAAGTGGATCTAAGCGGAAGAGAAGTATGCAAATTTTGGAGGGTAATACTGATATGGAATGTTTGCAGAAGGGTGAGGAATTATTGAATAACTTATTTCCAGATGATAAATGTGAAGAAGATACAAACATCCATAAAAGTATAAGAAATTATAATTTAAAACTACTCAATAAAGAAAAACAGATGGTTATGATTACTGAAGTTAACGACTTAATTGACAAATTAAATCCAAAGAAATCTCCCGGAATAGACAACATCTCTAACAACATGATAAGGCACACTAAACAATTTATAGCTCCTATATTGGTGAAACTATTTCAAAAATGTTTAGACCTACAATACTATCCTGCTGAATGGAAAAGAGCAGAGGCAATAATTATTCCGAAACCTGGAAAAACTGATTTTAATAACTTTAAAAATTATAGACCTTTATGTCTTAATTCCAACATTTCTAAAATATTTGAAAAAATAATTAATAACAAAATAATAAAATATTATGAAGATTTTAATTTACTAAGTGATCGACAACATGGCTTTAGAAGATCGAAGTCTACTATTACTGCACTAACTGAAATAATAAAAATTGCGTTAGAACATAAAACAAGAGAATATGCAGCAATAATTGCAGTGGATATTAGTGCAGCGTTTGATAATGCATGGTGGCCGGCCTTGATGAAAAGACTAGATGAAGATGGTGTGCAGGCTTCAATGATAAAACTTCTACAATCATACTTTGATAATAGAAGAATAAGATTCAGATATTCCTCAACTGAAATTAATAAGAAACTAAGTAAAGGATGTCCACAGGGAGGACCACTGTCTCCCACATTATGGAATATTCTTGTTAATGAGATACTGAATAATAATCAGGATGATAATTGTGAAACAATAGGATATGCAGATGATATTACGTTAATATGTTGGAATAAAACTCCTGAACAACTAAGAAAGACAATAGATAATGTATTAAGAAAAATCAATAAGTGGTGTGAAAGTCGTAAATTAAAATTGTCCGATGAAAAAACAAAAATATTATATTTATATAAATGCAACTAGACGAATGGCCCGGGCAACGCCCGGGTTTTACCCGAGTGCGCATATATTTTAAAAACGTTTTAATTCAAATACTATTCGTTACAATTATAAATTGGCGCCATGGATGTCACTCTTGTGAAACGTCCCGTTCCAAACTGTGTGTTTTTAAAATGTTTTAATTAAAATACTATTCGTTACAATTATAAATTGGCGCCGTGGATGTCTCTCTTGTGAAACGTCCCGCCCCAAACTGTGTGTGTCTTGAAAATATAAAAATAAAAATGTGAATTTTCATAAAGATTTCATCATGTCGATTTTTTTTTTTTTTGCATTTCACCTACTAAATCGATAGAGATAATTACATTTGCAACATGAACTTAGGTATATTGACTAAATAGAAAACTGCATAGTAATAAAGATCATTTTTTGAAGGCACCATATCGTTTTTTTTTTTCAATACGAAACAAAAATTAACGATAAATAACGATAATTGCCTTAAAAAGAAATTGCCTTAAAAAAAAGAAACATTCGCGGTGATTTTGTCTTGCATTCGTTTATGCAATTATTATATACGAATGACCCGGGCAACGCCCGGGTTTTACCCGATTAAATGCTTTTATTCAAATACTATTCGTTACAATTATAAATTGGCGCCGTGGATGTCATTCTTGTATAATATATAAATGAGTTTTAAAAATTGTAAAAAAAAAAAAAAATCGGCCGGGAATCGAACCCGGGCCGCCCGCGTGGCAGGCGAGCATTCTACCATTGAACCACCGATGGTTATGAAAAATCCCATCCGTGAGCTTCAGACAGACAAACAAACAGACAGAATAAGGCAAATATATAAGTAGATATTCCTGGGCGCGCTTCGGTCACTATTTAAAGAAAATTATTTTTTAAAAATGCTAATAGGATTAGATATATTATCAGAATTATTAGAAATAATGATGTTTATTTCAAAAATTCTTTAACTACCCATTAATTAATATTCAACAATTATAAACCTTATGGATGTTTATTTTTATAAGTATTCTGGTGTTAAAAAAAATAAAGGAAATACAAATTATTTGTCTTGTTGGTGCTTTTTCTTTAAAAGTCACCTAATAAATATAGAAAAACAGACAATTATTTTAAAAATAATATTTTTAGCTGATGTTCTATGTATATATTTAGTCAGTAACATTTATCTGGTGTACCTCTCTTGCAAATGGAAGTAACCGTTTTAGAATCGAATTTGAAAGTAAATTTGTTATAAAAAAAAAGATTTTTATTATTTTTTAAAATAATAGTTCAATTTTTTTTTATAACAGCCAGTGTATTTTATGAAAAAGACATCTCCTTATTGTACAACTGAAAGTTGCTGATGGCTTGCGCCATCTATCGGAATAAATATCAACTATTCTATTGATTAATCAAGAATGGGTATTTGGCCAATTCTGGAATAATTAAAAATCAATGAAGATAGTTGATATTCATTCCGATATATGGGAAAAGCCATCAGCAAATTTCAGTGGAAGATA